AAGATCAATAAATCATATTTCTTTCTTGATAGGGATTATCTCCCACAAAAGAGGACTCAATGTCCTACTAGGATTCCAACCCCTTGAGTTCACTATAAAAACAGAGGCTTGCCCTCTCATTATGGGCAATCTCCCATAGTCAATCTACACTACTCAAAACCATCTATTTACTCATAAAGTTCTTGCGCCCAAGAACCCGACGCCTCCGTAGTCCTAGCTTCCGACAAGACTCCTGGTAATTCTTCATCTCTTTAATTCTTATCAAATAATCTCTTTCAGTCTCACTGACTTGAGCGTCAGAGTGCCTACGGAAAACACTAGGTACCCTAGTATTTTCCGAAAGCTTCACGCTTGCCCTTTCATGTGTGCAGGTCTAGCGGATTGTCAGTGGCCTTAACCTCACGAGATCATATCCTATTTTCATAACGGTAGATTTTTGCATCTACAGTTAATTAACAAGTTGATTAAAATCTTTGAATTATTTAATTATGGATATAAATATCAAACATCTTACCTAATATCTAAATAATCGGTTGACAGATGAATGTTTAAACTTTACAACTATATATTACTCAGCTCGAAGCTATCTATTTCAGCTGTCTTGAATAATATCCAATTCATACTTGAAAGTAATGCTAATCAATGGTAATTAAATAAAAGGAATTTTTAGGGTTTTGAAATTCAACAAAATTATTCTCCTATTGCTAGTTGTCATTGTCACGCGGAAACGTGAAGACTTGACTCTTTTTTTATCCCTTGCTTTTAAAGTCACCTTGCCAATTTCCAAACAGGCTCCTAAATTTATGCAAGAAAGTGACCTCATTTCAATTCTAATAATGCTACACCTAAAAAGAAGTTTACAAATTTTTTTCTTTTTAAATTTCTTTATATATATATATATAGTATTACTCTTTTTATCCACCGTTGACATTTCCACTTTGGGATCGAGTTTGTATCCAATTTTATTGATTCGTGATAACTAGAAAATGGAAAATCTTTATTGGCCTCAATCGATATGGGACATTGAAATATTGAATCAGTCCTTTTAACAATTATAGCATGATAAATTCAACTATATAATGTTATTCAATGCTAAGAAAATATGGATCTCTTTATATAAACACAATTAAGTTAGAATATAAAAAGCCAGCATAGTAGTTAGAATATTGATTATACTTTAATTTATTGTGAAAAAAAAAAAAAGTAAAAAATATGTGTAAAATATAATTCCATATTTCATTCAAATTATTTCTACCAAAATTACCGGCTCCGTTTGGTTCAAAATTTAGGGGTTTTGGGAAAAGTTTTTTGAAAAAAGTTAAAAAAAAGTTGAATTGGGCGGGTATTACGATGTAGGATTTATAAATTGATAAAATACCCCCTATGTTTGTTTTTTTACAAAACACCCCTTATAATAAAACATTAAAAGTTAACAAAAATACCCCCAATCCACCCTCAAATACGGATAGCCGGCCACCACCGCCGGAGGGTGGCCGGAGTCGCCGTAACAAAAACATTAAAAATATTTAGGGATATTTAATTGAATTAACAAATTTAGGGGGTTTAAAAAATGTTGAATAAAGTTGAATAATATTGTGAGTTTTTTGGTATTTTACTGTTTAACTTTTTTGGGAATACTAAAAGTAGTATTCCCAAAATCCAACCAAACGAAGCCACCAACTTTTTAGTTTTTATTCCACAAGTGTTTTCTGTATACAAATCCCGAAATTTAGTGTTTATAAAGTTCATCAACGCTAACAAACGATGTTTAAGTCTACGGCCAAATCTTCTTTTGCAACTTTCGAATATGTATGTTGCTTTCTGGTATGAGGGTCTCCTCATGTTTTTAAGTTTAGAACAGTTGATATGGGTGCACTACTCCGAAAGGTTGGCGTGGTATTAAACAATGATCATAAAGAATGTATAGATGACAGCTGGGCAAAAAATGAATGGTGATAAGACACGCATCTTAAATCTAAAAATTGTTATGATATGGGGCTACAGTAGCTGTGAGTTGGAGGTATGAAATATCTATTTGTACGGAAGTAATGATGGATGTGGGCAATATATGATACTTGACTAATTTTTTCTTACAAACGCGATGTGTCAACTCGCAATAGCTCCTGTCTATCCATCAATTAGTCATGTTTGACCAAATACGAGCTGATCAATCGCGAACTACTACATCGTGTTTGTGAGAGAAAGTTAGTAATAAGTATTTATTAATCTATCGTTATTCTATCAATTGCTCCTTAAAAACATTAAACAACAAACAATTATATATATAGACAAATGTTTTTCCTTATAATATTTTTAGGGGAAGTTTTGTTCAGAGAGTGTTTTATTATCAGGAATATTATATTAATGGAAGATAGACAATCTTGAAGATTAATGAGATTCTTATTAAAAATATGTTTGGTTATACAGGTGGGCAAACGGGGCCTGGGCCCTCAAGGACTGGGCCCAAATTGGCTAGGACTGGTCCTAGGCTTGTCACTTTTGTGAGGGCCCAGACCGTCCTAGGCCCAGGCCTGGCCTATCCTATGCGAGCTTGATAAATATCCATTTAACCTCCTAATTTTTTTTATATATTTTGAGTAATATATAATTATGTAAGGGGGTTTTTGTAATTCATTAGGGGGTGATTTGTAAATTTTTAATTAATTAGTAAATATATATATAAATGAATAGTTATAAATTTATAATGGTTTTAATTTAAAGAGATAATTTAATTTTAGCTTCAAAATGCGAAAGTTTAATTTAAACTTAAACAATTAAATAAATTTGTTTTTGAATTCATTATGATAAAACAATAAATAACTAAAATTGATGAAATTGAATAATGAATTAATACAAATAATAAATAGAATAATGAATAAATATAAATAATAATTTGAATAATGGATGAAATTGAAGAGAGTTTGAGAATTGGAGTAAAGAAAATAAGAGTTGAGAGTTGAGAGGAGATGAAGCAAGATGGTGACCGGCGAAGGAGGGAAGAAAACGGTGACGGGAAAGATGGTGAACGAGAGTTGCGATTTCAGTTTTCAAATTGAAACGGCAAAGAATGAGAGAAAGAGATATTCGTGGTTTAGGGATTCTAATTTCTTATTCCCAACATGTTTTACATTATTTCAATAGGTGTGGATTTGCAAATTTTGAAACTTATAAACGTCATATGACTCCTATAACTTTAAAAACTATCAAATTAACCCTCAAGCCTGGAAAAACTAGCAAGCTTTTTGAGTTGAGTTGTACCCTGGTCAAACTCGACTCAAATAATTATTTGAGTAGCTCGACTCGACAATTATCGAGCTAAGCTCGAGCCAAAACCGAGTCGAGCTCAAGCCACTCGGCTCAATTTTCACCCCTACTTGACACTATCTATAGAGAGGTCTGAAGGACATGGATGAGTCTATGTATGAATATTGTGCTTACATCTTTGTACCACTGTTAGAGGATACATGCACATTGGATATTTATTTATTCTATAGCCACAACATCTTCATATAAATTATGTTAAGACTATACTTAATTACCGTTGGATTCATTAAATTGGATTGACATCATCATACTATGGGACTTCCATGAAAAAATATGACACTATAGGGATTTTTTATATTATAGCTTAAAAGGTCCCCAAATATCAAAGATTAGGGGTTCCTTGTAAAAGTGTCAAATTATGAGTCTATGAGAAGTTCAAAATCAGGGTTTCTTGGGAAAGAGTCAAACTATAGGGGTTCTCTAGTATTAAATTCTTGGGTTTCTTTTAGATAAAGCTTTTATTTTTAATTTGATTTGATTTTCATTTAAATTGGGTTTTGTTAGTGAAGTCTTTTCAGCTATTCATTGTCAAAAAAAACTGGCAAAAACGACTAAGCAAATGCTTACTTTAAAAAATAATAATAATTTAGATATGAATTTGTAAGGAGTAAGGACCACTTCTTCGGTTATGAGTGATTGCCTCCTTAACACGTTTATCACACGCCACAAAGAAGAGGAATTTTCCAATATCACTTTACAATTTTAAAATTATTTATGGTTTATAATTCCTCCATTTTGGGAGACAATCTTTATTGATTCTTCCATTTCAAAGAAAAATTTCTCATCCATATCATCAACCACTTCTCAAGATTCACTATTCAAAATTGCTAAGTCAAGTCTAGTCACCCCTACTACCACACTACATGTTTATTCGTTTATAATTTCTTTTTTTTTTTTTTTTTTTATAATTGGGTATTCGGATCAGTTTGTGTGAACTTCAACTAATCTTTATGATCCATTGAACAACCTACATAAGTAGCCTCAAAATATAAACCCAGAAACTCAAGAAATGAAGCAAACCCTCTTGACTGTCAGACCAATCCCCTAAAGTTATTCATCTATAAATTTGCATACTAACTACTCGAGTTTCTTATTGTGCCAAACTATATGGGTTCCTAATATAGTGTAACAATATAGGTGTTCATAAGATAAACTAAAAATAGAGGAGTTCTTTGATAAATTAAAAATACAAGGGCTATCTAATATTACATAAAAATATAGGAGTTTCTCTGAGTTAGAGCAAAACTACAGGTCTCTTTAAATCTCGTCAAACTATCGGGTTCCAGTAGATAAGGTTATAAGGGTTTTGTTGATTTGTGTCATACTACAGTATAGGGTTTCATCTAGTATAAATCAAAACTAAAAGGGTCCTTTAATATGTCAAACTATAGGGCTTTATCAAGATAAAGCAAAACTGTAGGGATTCTTTAAATCACGTCAAACTACAGAGTTTCCCTATAATGGCTCTTTTAATATTGCGTCAAACAACAAGGGTTCTTTGAGAAACTAAAACTATAGGGTTTCAAGATTTTTTAATAAATTCAAGTTAAAGATAAAAATTTATGAACAATATTTAATAATTTTTAAAATTTAAAATGAACTTGAATATTCGCAGGAACAAGAGAAAGCAACTGTTTGTAGAAAATACTGCAGGTCTCCAAAAGGAAAAGGTTAGATTACTTCAATACATGGGCAGCTTCGAAATTCAAATTATAAATACAAAGCGGATTTCATTTATTTGTCTTAGAACATTACAATCAAAAAAACTAAATTGAAAGCCACCCAGAAGTTCTCTTCAACCCGTCATTCTTTGGTTCCCTGGAGGCATCATGCTAACATGATTCATATTCATGTTTGAGTTCCTCGCTAGGTTTCCCTGATATCCTGCAATCAATCAAACCAAAAAACACCAAACAGTTATGGGCTGTTTCTAACTTTTTAATATTTTACAACATATAAAGCAGTAGCAGACATCTTTTAAATTCATAATATATCATCATTTTGAATGGCATTTTCTCACTTTAGTTTACATTTTCAATTCACAGAAAAAGATAGTCAATTCTTTGGTAAGGTTTTTAGAACCAAAGCCTAACAATTGATGGTAAGATATGAGTCATCTGATTTACCAATGGAAGGATCCCAGCCTCTAGCTTGAAGCTCTCTATATTCTTGACAAAGAGCACAGTAATCACAAAGAAAATGGCTGATCCAGTCGGGTGCTGGAGCCTTCGGAAGCCCAAACTTGTTCCTGAGTAGGGCTGGTTAACGAACCGAGCCACTCGCAAGCCAGCTCGAGTCCGGCTCGTTAATGGCTCGGTTCGTCTGATAACGAGCCGACTCGACTAGGCTCGTGAGACAAAACGAGTCGAGTTCGAGCCATAGAAGGCTCGGCTCGTCAGGCTCGCGAGCCGCGACTGGCTCGAAAAAGCGGGGGTTTTTTTTGAGAATTTCTGAACTATTGGGATTTAACTGAAAATGATGCAAACAAGTTTTAAAAAATAACAAAATGGCCCCTGCTATTAAAATCCCCAAATCGCAAAAAATCCGTCACAGTGGAACCCTTGCCGTAAAATTTGAATCAAACTCCTCCCAAAGTAACGATTTTTGGCCAGATCTTGTTCACCTTCGTCAGCTTCGCGGGATCTTCGTGGGATATTGTTCATCATCGTCGGACCTTCGGCAGCCGTTGGATCTTCGTCATCGTCATCTGATCGTCGTTGGATCTTCGTCGGAACTTCGTCTTCTTCGTACGAGCTTCGTCAGATCTGAATGTTCTTCGTCGGATCTGAATCGTCTTCGTCAGATCTGAAGTTTCTTCGTTGGTTCGTCATCATCTTCGTCGGATTTTCGTCAGACTTTAACCGGTGAGTAGGGGGTTTCTTCGTTGGATCTTGTGCTCCTTGTTTTAGGATTATTCCTGTACCAATGGGATGATAATATCTCTGGAATATTTGCGTAGTTCAACTAACCTCCATTGATATTTTTGTGAAAGAGCCCTGTGTCATGTTCCTTTCTAAGCCATTAAGCACAATATTTTATCTGTTATATATTTTTCTATATTAATTGTTTTTCTTGTTGGATTTTGAATCATTTTTAGTTGCCTTTTGGAAGTCTTATGCAAATATTGGAGATTTCCCATTCTTTTCTTCGAGATCAATCTTTGGTGCACAAATGTGCCTGAAATTTAGTTTGAAAAATTTAAGGAATGGGAACAGATTTTCACCTTCACACACTGTAGATGATAAGGCTTTTAGTACTTTGGTATTCCAGTTTTGTCTTCTTATGCGTCTTTATAAGAGTGAAGATGATAAGGCTAATCTAATGGTTAGTATTGTTATTCCTAAAACTTATTGCCTTATTAAATTTATTTCTGCAGGTATCGGAAGCATCTGTTAGTAGAAATCGCAGTACTATTTTGTTCCTGCTGGAAGTTCTCGGGACGAAGGGTGGACAGCATTCATAAACATTCTGGCAGAAATTAATGAAGCATCGCGGCTTTTCACATTGCCCAATCAGGCGTACCTGCAGAGCATGCATAAACCCCTTTTCTGTTTTTACACATACAATTGTTGCATTTATCAGATGTCTTTTTTGGTTCTATTGTATGTGTGTGTGAAAATAGCAAAGTTCTGAACCTTCAGAGCGTCTTGTTGGGCTTTCAGATGATGTTGGGGCTGGCTTCATTTCTGGCCATAGTAGCCAACCTGCCTCTGCTTCTGAACTGAATGGTTGACAGGTCGGTTGACCTGCCGGCACAAGATGAAATAGGTAAATGGGGTTTCAGAAGTACAGAGCCTATCAGAAGAGATTCTTCTTTGATTTGGGGAGCAACAACAGGGGTCACTCCTGAGGATATCTGAGGTGAAAAACGGAGGATATTTATGTTTATTTATTAAATTGGCGAGTTAAATAAACTGTTAGTTGTGTTGCAAGTATTAATCAAATTTATTTGAATTGGACTGCGGTCAAACTTGCTCTGCCCACCAAATTAATGAAAAGTTAAAGAGTAAACGACATGTTCCCACCAAGGTTTATTGAAATCCAAGAGTGGTACCACTGGTTTCATAATTTCAGATTTCCACCCTTAAATGGATGTCGTTAGTGACGACATAGGGGCATTGATTCTTTTACCAAATTACCCTTAGACCTTCTCCTTCTTCATTTCCCTTCTCTCTTCGCGGCCCATTCCAAAACCCACCCCATCCTAACCACCACCACGGCCTTTTTTTCATTAACCATTCTATTTTTTCTTCTCTTCTTCTTCTTCTCCTCCTCTTCCTCTCTTTTCTTCTTTTTGCTCCTCCTCTCTTTTTCTTCCCTTTTCTCCCTTGTCGGAATAAGCTCCGAGGCGGCTGGATTTGTGGCGGTTTGTGTGGGTTTTGGGTGGTTTGGTGGGCTGACTTTGTGGGTTTTTGGGTGGGTTGTGGCTGACTTGTGGTGGTTTTTGGGTGGGTTTGTGGTTGTTTTTGGATGGATTTATAGCTGGGTTTGTGGTGGTTTTGGGTGGGTTTGTGACCGAATTTGTGAGCGATTTGATGTTGGATTTTGGGTGGTTTTGAGGCTGAACTTGTGAGCGATTTGGTGGTGGATTTTGGGTGGGTTTGTGGCTGAATTTGTGAGTGATTTGGTGGTGGATTTTGGGTGGGTTTGTGACTGAATTTGTGAGTGATTTGGTGGTGGTTTTTGGGTTGGTTTGCTACTGAATTTGTGATTTGTTTGGTGGTGGTTTTTGTGTGGGTTTGTGGCTGAATTTGTGAGTGATTTGGTGGTGGTTTTTGGATGGGTTTGTGGCTGGATTTATGAGTGATCTGGTGATGGTTTTTGGGTTGGTTTTGTCACTGAATGTGTATATAATTTGGCGGTGGGGCTTTTGGGGTTTAGAGGGATTGTGATGGTGGTGGATGAGTGGAAAGGTGGCGGGTGGTGGTGGGACTTCGGGGGGTTTCGGTCATAATGGTGTTGAAAGGTGGTGGTGAATGGTGATGGCTAGATGGTGGTGGTGATGGTGATGGTGATTTCGCCAGAATCAGACGGGTGGGCCTGAAATGGCAACCGTTTTGAGATGAAGGAAAAAGAAGAAGATGGGAGGTGGAGGCAGAGATGAAGAGGAAATGGGAAGGGAAAAGAGAAAAATACAATTTTAGCCTTGAACGGATAAAATAAAGGAAACGGTATCCATTTAAGGGTGGGAATCTGAAATTTATGAAACCAGTGGTACCAGTCTAGGATTTCAATAAACCTTGGGTGGGAACATGTCGTTTACTCAAAGTTAAATTATGATTTTTCAATTTTAAGCCCTTCTGAATTCGCCTGCCATATTTAAATATTTTAAACTAATTTTCTCATTTTCAATATTGAACATGATTCAGCTTCAAAATTATTTGGAGATGGCTGCTGCCCAGACAATCAGACTGCTGTCAAGCGAATTTTTGTAAAAAAAAAAATTTTAAAAAAAAAAAAAAACAGAGTTATTTGGAGATGGCTCGAGCCAGCTCGAAATATACCAAATCTATTGTCAAGCCGAGCTGAGTCATATAATTTCTGACTCGGCTCGGCTCGGGCTCGGCTCGTTTATTATTCCTCTCTCACGAGCCGAGCTCGTTAAGCCGAAAACTCGGCTCGGCTCGGCTCGATAACACCCTTATTCCTGAGCTTTGTTCGATACGTGCATGAAATTATGCATGGCAACCCTTTGCAAAACGCAACCCCAGCGTATAGCATTCTGCTCGTCCCACATGCTAATTTTCAGATAACACAATCAAATATTAAATATTTATGAAATTAACATTAGAACCGATCTTCAGAACCAATCAATATACAGATAATAATACACTTACAGGTGTGGCCATCGTCGATGATCTCTGCAATCTGGCCAAACGTCAAGCACGGGAAGAGAATAGTGACAAGAGCTGAAACGTTGGAAAAAACACATCATTATTTGTTTTAATATACAAAACTATATTAAAACATTTAAGCAATTTCAATGAAAAGGAATGTTCTGGTTTATGATTTTGGAGAGTAATAGAAAGACAATCACCATTCATTGGGTCATTCATGCAATCAAAAAGCTCACTATGCCAACCGTTTCCCAACTTTCCCAGGCCTGTAAGTGGAACCCCATATGGTGCTTTTGGCCCATTATTGGGCCGAAATTGCATCCCTGTAATAGCTTGGGGTCCAGTTGGAGGAAAATTCACAAGATTTTGCGGGGCTGGCATGGGCATCTGGGTATATGGTGAGTAAGCCCCCGGCTGATTCTGCCCATATGTTTGGTTATTTTGCGGGTCGGAAGGCGGAAACTGCACGGGTTTAATCAGATCTAACGGTGGGCCTTGTTGCGGATACACCCCGATAGTGGCGGATCTAGGAATTTCACTCGATGGGGGCAAAAAATAAACAAAAAAAATTTGTGGGGGCAAAATGTCAAAGTCTTATAGGAGGTAAAATGCAACTAAATATAAATATTTATACAATCTGAAGTTTTTTAGAGTTTGAGTGGGGGCCATGGTCCCCACTCGTCATTAAGTAAATCCGCCACTGCACCCCGGGCTGATTCAGCCCGGGTGAATTCAGTTGAAAGTTTTGGAGCGGAAAATTTGCAGGCGGCCCCAGCTGAGCCCCGTAGGCGGCCTGGTTAGGTTGCAATGGTGGTGGATACGGTTGTGGTGGCTGGAATTGTTGTTGGGCTTGTGGATCCTGAGAGGCCATGGCTTCATGAGTTGCCTCATATTGATAATCTTGAGGTTGTAATTCATATTCTGATTGAGGCTGGTAATCAGAAGAGCCAACTTCAAGATTTCCCATAACTGGCTATAGCTCTTCACCGAGTCACAGTGCCTTTGATCCTGAGAAGGATCTCAACAATATAAAGAAGCAGATGGATAATGCCATTTAATGTACATTCAAAGAAGCAACTTGCCACATAGGGAAACCAATATAAAATCTAAGGACAAAAATATACTATTACAAGTAGCCAGCAACCAAGCATTAATCTAATTTCCACAAAAAAATGACAGAAAAGAAGACTTAAAACCCAACTGACATTTTCTATGAAAAAAAATATGTAGAACATGCATGTGTATGTTGTAAAAGTCTATAATTGCGTGAACTAAGTTCTTTTTGGTCCCATTTTCTTTTCTTTATTTGACTTAATAATGTAAAAGCTTGTAATCGTGTGGACTTTTCATAAAGTTGTTTCTCACTAACTGTTTTTTGGTCCCATCTTCTTTTATTTCTTTGACTCAGTTTGCTTTTGAAGTTATTTTTTTTTTTCAAATTATATACCTTTTTTTTCCCTGATTGATATGGCAGCAATAAAAGGACTATTCTAGCACCTGGCAAAGTGGTATCCGTACCCGCGAGTCCACGAGTACGTAGCCCAAACAGGCAGGTGCGGGTAACAGTATAAATTACTCATATGAAATTTACACGTACCTGGTCTGTTCGTGAAAAAAGCAGGTGGGCTGGGTAATGCTTGTAGGTATCTGCATTTTAATAAAAAAAAAAGAAAAAAGAAAACGTAAATTTAAAAAATTGCAAAAACAAAACCCTAAGCCTAAAGTGAATAGTGTTGTCTCTCTCTCGCGCTGACTACGACCGAAACTCTCACTCTCAAAGACTCAAACTGGAACTCTCTCACTCTCAGGCTGAATCGCACAAATCACAATCTCTCAAACTGAAACTCTCTCACTTTTAGGCTGAATCTCACAATCTTTGAAATTGAAATTCTACCACTCTCACGCCGACAACACAGCAGTAGCTCTGAATCTCACAATCTCTCTCACGCCGCATTACTTCTTATTGTATATATTGATATATAATAAAAATTCATTCTTGGACATAGTGGGCCTAAATGATCCAATATACATTTGATAGAATGGGCCCATAAATGATTCCAATATCCAAAGTGGGTATCAATCATGTAGGCAATATTGTTGTTATGGTCATTATAGTTCTTAAATATCTTGATAATTAATATAACAAAAGATTACACAATATTAATCTGGTTTATAGAAAATAATATGTAACATTCTTATTTGATTAATACAACTAAATGGGTATGCTTCCAGTGCCAATTCCAGGTGAAATTTTTTCTCACTATTAGACTTGTAAAACTAAGATTCATTATCAAATAAGAGTAAGCACGGGTAGCGGGTAGAACCAAAACAGGAATCTACCCGGAACCAGCACTATGTGGGTAGGTTTCGGTTCCATTTTATTGGAACTAACAATGTGCGGTTCCAGTTTTGGTTCTTATGTGTGGAGGAACCAGAACCTAGAAAAAAACTTGAAACGGGTACTCGGTTTGGAACCTGTAGCAGATACCCGATTTGAAACCTGTTTGGAACTGATTTTTGGAACCTATTTTGGAACCTATTTTGGAACATGTCTTGGAACCTAGGCTCCAATGAAATATTTGTGAATAATGGGGGGTTTCTTTATTTTACATATAAAAAATTTAAAATTAAAAAAGTTAAAATTTTAGAATAACCTAATTAAATAAATATACAATGATATTTATTACATATAAACTACACCATATTAAAAACTTTAATATATTATAATATATTAATATTAAAGTTTTGATTAATTAAGTATATAATTGGAATTATGATTCAATTAAAAGAGTTTTAATGTTATTAAAAGAATCATTTTTGAATAAAATAGTATATTTGATTGAATAATAATATATTTATTTATTTATTTCAATTATCAATTATCAAGTTTTAAGCATATCTATAGTAAATTAGCAATTAATTAATTATATATGATAAATTGATAAACATTAATAAATTTAATTAATAGTTAAATATCATACTTAATCATTATAACATTACATTATAGTTAAATGATTACTTAATTAATTATAATTTTATAACATTACTTAATTGATTTATAGTATAATTAATTATAGCATTACATTATAGATTTATAATATAATTAGTTAATTACTTAATTAATTATAACATTTCATTACAAACATTAGTACAATACTTAATTAAATAATTAAAAATTTAATTAATTATAATATTACATTAAAGATTTATAGTATGATTACTTAATTCACTATAACATTACATTATAGTATGATCACATAATTAATTATAACATTACATAATTAAATGATTACTTAATTGATTATGACATTATATTATAAACATTAGTAATTACTGTACTAATTTACTACATAAACATTAGCATAATATTTAATTAATTATAACATTACATTATAAATTTACAGTACGATTACTTAATTAATTGTAACATTAATTAAATGATTACTTAATTAATTATAACATTCTATTATAAATAAATAAATTATAATATTATATTAAAGACTTATAGTATGATTACTTAATTCATTGTAACATTTCATTATAGTATGATTATATAATTAATTATAACATTACATAATTAGATAATTATTTAATTGATTATAACATTATATTATAAACATTAATTATAACATTACATTATAAACAAATGATTACTTAATAAAATGATTAGAAATTTAATAAATTAAGCATTACATTATAGTTAAATAATTACTTAATTAAATTATAACATTATTACATTACATTATATTATGATCACTTAATTAATTATAGTATTATATAGTTAAATGATTACTTAATTAGTTATAAATTTATAACATTACATTATAAACATTAGTAATTTATTACATTATTAAATTACTTAATTAAATGACTAAAAATTTAATTAATTATAATATTACATTAAAGATTTATAGTATGATTACTTAATTCACTATAACATTACATCACATAATTAATTATAATATTATATAATTAAATAATTACTTAATTGATTATGACAATATATTATAAACATTAGTAATTACTAATTTACTACATAAACATTAGCACAATACTTAATTAAATGATTAGAAATTTAATTAATTATAACATTACATTATAAATTTATAGTACGATTACTTAATTAATTGTAACATTACATTATAATTAAATGATTATTTAATTAATTATAACATTCTATTATAAACAAATTAATTATAATATTATATTAAAGATTTATAGTATTATTATTTAATTCATCATAGAATGATTAAATAATTAATTTTAACGTTACATAATTACATGATTATTTAATTGATTATGACATTATATTATAGACATTAATTATAACATTACATTATAAACAAATGATTACTTAATTAAATGATTATAAATTTAATTAATTAAGCATTATATTATAATTAAATAATTACTTAATTAAATTATAACATTATTACATTAGATTATATTATAATCACTTAATTAATTATAACATTATATAGTTAAATGATTACTTAATTAGTTATAAATTTATAACATTACATTATAAACATTAGTAATTTACTACATTATTATATTACTTAATTAAATGATTAAAAATTTAATTAATTATAACATTACATTATAGAGTTATAGTATGATTACTTAATTAATTATAACTATAGATTTATAGTATGATTACTTAATCAATTATAACATTTCATTATAAACATTAGTATATTAATTAAATGATTAGAAATTTAATTAATTACAATATTAAATTATAGATTTATAGTATGATTACTTAATTCATTATAACATTACATTATAGTATGATCACATAGTTAATTATAACATTATATAATTAAATGATTACTTAATTGATTATGACATTATATTATAAACATTAGTAATTTACTACATAAACATTAGCACAATACTTAATTAAATGATTAGAAATTTAATTAATTATAACATATTAACATTACATTATAAATTTATAGTACGATTACTTAATTAATTGTAACATTACATTATAAACAAATGATTACTTAATTAAATTATTACGTAATTAATTATAACATTATTACATTACATTATATTATGATCACTTAATTAATTATAGCATTACATAGTTAAATGATTACTTAATTAGTTATAAATTTATAACATTACATTATAAACATTATTAATTTACTACATTAGTCATTAGTACATTACTTAATTAAATGGTTAAAAAATCTAATTAATTGTAACATTACATTATAAATTTATAGTATGATTACTTAATTAATTATAACATTACATTATAAACATTAGTACAATATTTAATTAAATAATTAGAAATTTAATTAATTATAACATTATATTATACATGTATAGTATGATTACTTAATTAATTATAACATTATATTATAATTAAATAATTACTTAATTAATTACAATATTATTATATTACATTATAAACATTAACAATTTATAACATTAAATTAACAATTTATAGCTGAATAATTGTTTGTGTCTTGGTTTTGATTGAGAAATTTTATGTGAATTGTGATGAATTGATTGAATTCAAGTGTTGCCTAGAGATTAGAGGATTTATGAGTTACATTGGATACAAATGAATGAGTAATCAAAATTTGTTAGGGGTGTATTTATAAACTTTTAAGGTATTTTTGTCATATTTTAAACTAATAGGGGGCAGTTGATTTTTTTTAGGGTACTCGGGAAAGGAACCGGAACTTGCATTTTAGGTTCCGATTCCCCGAAAAATGCAGGGTACCCGGAACCGCTCATGTCACGACCTCATTTTACCGGAGGCACGACCGGGTCTTGTCCCACTCTTCATGACTTCTACTCAGTACTGTCCTCCCCCCCCCCCCCCCCCCCCCCCCCCCCCCCCCCCCCCCCCCCCCCCCCCCCCCCCCCCCCCCCCCCCCCCCCCCCCTCTTTTAAGGGATTTCTTTCGCCTCCTCCACCACTCGAACCCAAGACCAAAAGGCTATAGTCATTTGGGAAGCATGGTGAGTACCATCAGGCGAAGAGTGGGACAAGTCCCGGCCGTGTCTCCAGTACGATGAGGTCGTGACAACTCACCCCTAATCAAATTGGACTAACCTATTATTTTTTTAAATGTCAGGACTAAAAGGTACATATTAAAGGCCAAATGAAAACCCCCATTATATTTGTAAAATTGAGATCTAGTAAGAGATGTGTTTCAATACTACATTGGGTAGAAATAGGTTGAATATCATGTTCCGAAGTGTGGATATGCAACATGAAGGGTATAGTAGGTAAGTATCTGACCTCTAAATATTGATATCAAGATTTAAGCGGGTGATTATATCTGTAGGATATTAAATCATGATTAATTTGATTTTCTATTAAAAAATATGTTATGAGTTAGGAGAAGTTACCAAGAGACGGATCGAAGCCTCTGGATTGATCGAAGCTCCCTGTATTCTTGACATAGAGCACACCAATGACAGCATAAATGAGTGACCCAGTCCAATGCAGGACGCTTAGCAAGGTTGAACTTTTTCCTCAGTTTAGTTCGGTAGTCTGTTGTCTGTTTACATAACCCATACTTCCACTTGCAGCATAAGCCTATTCCCAAGCACATCCCCATGTAAAGCATGTAAAACTTACGTTACTTACGTTACTCATGTAACGTAAATAACGTTTTGATTTTCATCAGTTTTAAACTTGATGGTCCACGTTTGTTGTTCAGTTTTCAAATGTTTGGAATTTATGGCAACCATTAAGCAATGCCATTAAGAGCTTGACGGAAGCTTGGCTATGTATATTATTTTGGTCCCTAAGCTCAAGAACTCAATTATATTGAAAAATACACCATCAATATTAGAGTGTCTTGAGAGCTTAAAAGAGCCAAAATACAGTTCCGTGAGTTTGTTTTAATGGTTGGAGGTAATTTTTTATTCTTGGTTTATAGTTTAAGAATATTGTATTCTTTGTATTTCT